CAGGAAAATTAAACATCTTACAATACTCCTTCCCTTTTAGGTGCCCTCCTCTTCTGTTACTAGGTGGAAACCATTTAGCAATGACTTTATTAAGTGAGGATCAAGTTCCTCTGTGTTTCCTTCCTGTTCATTCCTTTTCCCCTCACACTTATATACGCAGCATGCAGCTGTAGCGTACAGTCAAGAATAAGGCTTTAAAATATAAGTGCTAGGAATAGAAGTTCCACTCTGAATCATTTCCAGCCCTAACACTTCTGAGTCTACAATAATTTAGTTAGAGCTGCAGGAGCACTAATCATGCTGAATTTATGTGTTCTTCTTTATGTGAAACTGCTTCAATTTAAAGGCTGAGGGCATGTCTGCGACTCACTTTCCACCTACATTCACACACCCCCACACACTCTGTTCCATTTACAGGTTAATTTCCCAAAGTACCTTGGAGCACACATTTAGATGCCCTGTCTTAAAATCTGTCTACATTACTGAGGTGCATGGTAGGATTAATATTCAAATTCTGGAGTAATTTAAAAAAGAAGGTCAACAAGCCCCTGTTCTCAAAGCAGCTTCTTTTAAAACTGGTATTATACTAGCTTTTGCACTGATGCATCTCAAATTTCATGTGCACTATATATATGTGTGTCTTGACATATATATACACATGCAAAATAATCTGCATTGTGTTCTACTAATTATTATTAATATTAATCTATTAATCTATTGTGTTCTAGTGGAAGCAAAAGTGGAAGAGATGCAGAGGGGGAAAAGAGCAACAATTAAAATTTGGTTATTTTGTTTGTGAGTTAGATGTTCATCTAACTCAGAAACCAGAGATTTCCACTGGAAACTTAAAAAACAGAGTGCTCTGTAGTCTGTCAGTTCTCACATGACCTGTGAGTCTCAGGGGCCTCAGTGGTAGCCATTGAACCTGACCTCCACCCAGGTAGGGTCATTTTAAATTGACTCTTGGCACATACACCAGAAAGGAAGACAGAGGCAATCTGCTTTGGTCAGAGCTCTGCTTTCTTGTCATTTCGGGAGAATGTAACCTAAATAGAGAGGAAGATAGAGAAGGTATCAAATTTTTATTTTCTTTTTTTTTCTTTTTTTTTTTTTTTAACTGAGGAGTAGATGTGCAAATGTCAGCAGTAGGAGGAGAAAGAGGAAATAAGATGAAGAGGGGGAAGAGGGCCTGTAGGAAGTGGAGGAAGATGATGGGGACAGAAAATAGCATAGAAGGAAGAGGACCAGAGACGGGAAAGGGACAACACCACCAGTAGAACAATAAGTTCAAAATTCCCCACAGGACTATATCCTTATTCCCTGTGAATATCCCATGAAGGTTTTTACTTTTTGCAGCATTTTACTCATTTGTCCATAGACTATGGAACTGAAAGACACTCCACGTCTCAAGATGGAACTGTTTTCTGTAATCCCTCCTCTTGCTTCAGCGTGAAAGCAGGCTCTCTTAGAAGCAGCGTACCACTCCACAGCGGTTTACCTTCCTGTCACTTTTATTGAGATCTGACATTCTCTGTGGATATGTGAACTTATCCTTCCTCATTTTCTCTCCCTCACTACCTTTCATTTGTGCCCTACAGAGGGAATTGAGATGTACAGAGAGCAAGCTGGATTGAAGAGTTCAGGACAGGCATGCTTCACTCTTCATTTCTGTCAAAGAAGAAAGAGGATGAGAAAATTCTTCCTGAACTGAATGGAGCAATTCACACCTATCAGAGCTTTTGTTCCAAGTTATATATACATCTGAAACCATATCCATCCCCATCTTGTATTCTCACTCAGTTCAGTATATCTGACTTCGATGAACACTTCAAACACATTTCACACCCTTTTGAAAAGTCTTCTGTTTAAAGGTCAGTTTCTCCTAAGAGCTGCATAATCCCCATGGCCATCTAGCTGCCTTGAAATCTGGCATGGTTACCACAGGTAGTGAGTAGAATTATTGGTCTAAATTAGAGGTCACTTGAGTCAAGAATTCCCAAAATAGAGCCTTTTACTTTAAAAACCCCAGCATTCCTTAGCATTGACCAACTGTCCTAATGTTTCTTTTGTGCACACATCTAGAATAAAACTGTGACCAAAGAGTCTCAGTTGGTCCATTTTTTACTCTAGCAAATGAAAGCCATCAAATGTCTCCTTGGTGTTCAGAGTTCAGATGCTTTCAAAAATTTCAGCTCCACACATGAAGTGAATTAAACACTCAAGACTTCAGGGAGTTATTGACCCTGTGAGTAGGTCTGAACAACACCTATTCCTATACAAAGCTGGGCAAACCCTCCTCCTTAAGAGAAGGAAGTAAAGAATCCTTCTTTTTGCACTTGCTGAATGCTCAGAACCTAGAAAATAATTGCAGGTAGTTCATTTCGAAAAGTAAGAAAAAATTGAAAAGAAAATGTGACACTTAGTTCCAGAAACAGTTCAAAAAGGATAAGGGTAAAAGGACAAGGTAGATAGCTCAGTGGAAACCTGCTCTAGGCTCTGGTGGAACCTTGGTTTATTAGGAATATAACAGCTTCGAAGGCTTGAAAAAAATATATGCTTATATCTACTGTACAACAGCAGTGCTATATGTAAGCAATTGCAGAGTAACAAGCATCTGCCATATATACTGCTTAAATGCCAATGACTTAGTGGAACAAGAAGGGTGTATAAACTGAAAATGGCAGCAGGAGAGTTTGGGGAAAAAAGGAGTGTCTCCTCTTAACAAAACTACTGTACTTCACACAACTGTACTTCATTTCCTAGGCTGAGAAAATCTGTGTCCAAGAATAATTCTTGTGAGCTGCTCCAGCTCATATCTCCACAAATTCATTTTAAGGTGGACAGCAGTGCACATTCAGTGAGTGAATGGAAGGGTCTGCAGGTGTTTTTGTCCAAGTAATGCACCTTAGGGTTATATTTTCCATGTGCTGGAAGCTGTAACACTATCAAGCAATCAGTGAGTAAATTAAGGTATTTTTCAGTGAAATTCTATCATTACTATTTTGTCATTTCCCTTCATTTCTCAAGGGTTGACATTTTTCAGCACTGAGAAACTATTCATTTAATTCTCTAAGTAACTTCAAAAATAAACTGCATATAATTTTACAAAAAACTGTACATTAGTGAATTAAGGCAAAGTTACCATGGAATGTGTGTGGAAACACATTCAACTTCTATTAGAATATTGAAAGTGTTTGTTATATCTGTTATAACTGATTGCCAGATGAACTCACAATAATATGACATAACAGAATACTTCAGAAATGTCTACTCCAAAAGTGTGTATACATTTACATACTTGCACATAATATGCAGAAATTCAGCCTAAATTATAATAATAAAACAGAACGCAAACTCTGAGGAAAAAAGAAGAGACATAAAGCAGTAATTAGAAGAGCAATAATGTAATTTGATTAACTAATAGCTACAGATATAAAAACATATTGTAATTCTGGAAATTCAAAGAACAGCTGTTGCTTGAACTTTATCTTCTTGTTCAGACATTGCCCATAGGAAAAAAATTACAACATCCAAAATTAACCAGAAGCAATGAGCTGCCAAGTAATTGATCTATGGATGGAAAAAGAGTCTTCTCTCAAGGTACCAGAGAACATCAGACAAATGCCATACTAAATGCAGTCCAAGTAATAAGTCAACATGAACCAACTTTGAAATTAAAACTATGCATCAAGAATGTAAGAGCTCAAAACTAGGTCAAAAGTTATAGGATAAATTATGGCCTTTCAGGGGCTCAAAACTTATAGCAAGAGTGGCCTCATCTGTGCTATCACAATCCATTTGTTATAGGCAGGTGAAAGAAGAGTTCTATAACTTAATCAAGGACAGTTGCACCATAATTATTCCAAAATGCAATATCACCTGGTACCTCATTTTTTCATCAAAAATGAAAATGTCCTACCCTACACGGGTAGGACATCTAAAAATGGACAGGTAAGACAGAGACAAAAGTACAAGTGCAACCAGAAGAGGTAAAATAACTCTTTACACTCTTTAATGACTCATGATTCTGGTTCTCAGTATCCAAAACGTGTGGGGTTGAGAGCGGGGGGTGTGGATGTGCTAGTGAAACTCTTCATCTTGGATGTAATGAAAAGGGGAGACATCTGACTTCATACTTCTAAACCCCCCAGTAAAATTGCCTCAGTGATGACTGTTACGCATTTGGTGACAAAGACTAATACTGGCCAAGCGACAACATGAGAGTATGACTTTTCTTGAATAACCACCTCTTCTGCTCATCCCCACAAGTATGAGATGCTGCTGAAGCCACCTTTGGGAAGGTTTACACAGATTCAATTTTTCTTTCATTACATAAATTTATCATCCTCTCCATTAAACAGAAGAGGACTCCAGAGATATAAGGCCTTCTCAAACACAATGAGGAAGGTAACTAAGCTATTTTAGTCTCCCAAAAAAAGGGGTTTTTTTAATTTTCTCTTTCAAAAAATTTAATTATTTCATAGGATGATTCCCAAACAGAAAACTAAACACATATCCTTTTGGTTTCAAAAGGAATGGCCCAGGGAGAATTTGTGGCACAGAGTACCACAATACAGAATCAGCAGTAAGGGAGTAGCAGCGAGTGGAACTCCCCTGGATACAGAAACACTCATTGAAAAGTTTAAAATCCCACAGCAAAAGCAAATGGTGCTCCAAGCATTTTTTCCAGGTGCTGCAGTCATCCAGGAAAGCAGGAAGCAGTGGTTTCACTAAAATTCAAGTTAATGTTAACAAGAAGTTAAAATGGTTTCTGAAAACTTTAATCTGTGGTCTGGCTTCTTTAATTCACATTGTAGTCCGTGTGCAAAAGACAGACTATTTAACATCAGTAACCTTTTGCAATACTTATTATAAAAACTAGAGTATCTCAAAAGAGGGTTTGTCATCATCATCACTTGATGAGGTTTTGTTTGTACTATTTGTTTGTACTATTGGCATTAACAGATTAAATGTACATTCTTCCCTTTTAATTAACTTACCGTTTTGACAATATATCAATGAGTTCTTTTCTGTTCTGGACTCTGAGTGTATTCGTTTTGTATCTGGAATCTTTACTAACTTCAGGCAAATTCAGGATCTAAGTAAAAATAAAAGTAAGTAAGAAGTGTGCTTGACAAGAGATATATATAGATATAGATAGATATCTAGACATATAGACATATATATATATATATATGTAGTCAAATAATTACTGATTTTTAAAAAACCACTGATTTCCAATGATCACAATTTATCATCAATCATTTCATATAAAGAAATCAAAAATTAATTATTACTCTTTTTTGTAAAAAGCCTCCTGGTTAATGTTACATAACACGTAAAGGAAAAATAGAGAAATCAGTCTGAAGATCCAAATCTTAGCTGACAGCTTTCAGGATTAGCCATGAGAAATTCTTACCACAGAATTGCTAAAAAAATTAGTTATTAACATGGGGGTGGATAGATCTGTAGGATTATCCTGCACTAACTTATATATCACAGAATAAGAAATATGTCCGTACTTCATATGCTAGACAGAGAAAAGATATGTCTAAGATTATTTATTTCCACTTCAGTACTCTCTGTCAAAAAGGAAAAAAAAATAAAAGAAAAAATGTATTTTTCTATTGAAACACCATTGGTCTTCTTTATTATTTTCTCCAAAAGAATTAATAAAGAAAAGTGGTGCTATAGCCTCTAAGAAAGGAGAAATATATCTTCAATGTGTAACTTCAACCTGCCACATTAGAACTTTAAACAACATGTGAAGACAATGTGTACTATTTTATAAAGGGAATTAAATATGCAGAATGAGTCTTAGAATTTTGTACAGGCATTCATTAGAAAAACCAGCTACGTGGAAAATCAATATAATTTACCTATTTGTGCCACAATGACTTTCTATAGAATAAATAAACATAATTATGTGATTTCTAAAAATACACCAATTACATCAGCTACAGAGAAAAGCAGCATAGAATCACAAAAAGAAAGAAACTGTCACATATCCTTCATGTATTTTCACTTACTAGCACACTCTAAAGCTCAGTTTTTCTTATGATGAGTCTTATAATCATTCTAAACATGCTACATTTTTTATAGGGCCATTTCTAAGATGGCTTACAAAAAATACAGTGCCTCAAACCTGAAGTTCCTATAGCCCATCATTGTATCTCTGCCTCTTGTCTGGGGCTTAGAAAGAGTTTAAGAACAGGGCCAGTATATACAACACTTCCTTAAGATTCATCCAAACTCCAGTCCTCTCTTGATTAGGACATTTCTGAGTCAAAGGTGTTTTCTACATATTTAGCAATCATCAATAAATTTATGTTTTATGATAGGAGTGACATGTCCAGTCACTCCTTCAATCCATATGCCTGTGTACTGCCACATGTAATTTGGTGCCAGTCTCTCTGATATTTCTCTGCTTCAAACATAACATTCTACTAATTCCTCTGACACTGATTTAGATCAAGGCCACAGTCATTTAATGACTCCTGACTTTGCTGGAGTGAATAAGGACACAGCTTCCTTTACAAGTGAATAGCTGTTGATGACATAAAACCATTAGCAAAACAGATATTCTTTCAACAGATATTAAGAGATATTAAAAACAGGTAGTCATCTTTGACATGATTTTTACCTAGAGTGAGAAAACTAAGCATGGAAATAAGGTATCTCTAAGTTATGCTAGAAAAATGGTGATGTTACAAAACTCTTCTGCAGATTTTTATCTGCAAGGTGACATAAAACATCAGTTTAGCATCTTCCATCTACACTTAATTTACAGCATATTTTCTTTTCCTTCTGCATTTATATAATCTAGTTTATGGAAATCACAACATATTATAATTTAGCATTAGAAAATAGCTAAATTTGTCTATCTGGAACTTTATCAATACTATTGGTACTCCTTAAAATTATTTCCTTCTTTTAATACTGCTATTTTGGAGTTACAAATCACTGCTTTAGGAAAAAAAAAAATCCTGCAAGGATGTTCAAAGTAAATGATAGTGAACACTTATGTGATCTTGAAAAGAACGAGAAATTAATCAGAAAGCTGTGGTTCCATTTGATGAGTTATATGAAAAATGATCATATGGAGTTGCTCACTCTACTGTTTTAATTAATGTTACTGATTTCAGCTTTAACTTAATGTCCATCTGGTGTAAAGCTGCATTTCTATATATATGTTCTTCTCAATTTTTTTGTGACTAACAAATGCACACTTGAGAAGTTATTCATTAATGTACCATTCATCTTTCTGCATCATGTTGCCAATGTTATTTTCTTTATTTGACTGTGAACATTTGGAATGAAAATGGTGTTCTCTATTTGAGGCCTTGTTCAAGCTCCACATGCACACTCTGAGCTTATGCTCTCTGTTTTGTCCTGCAACACTAGCATATCTGTTTGTACTCCCCCTTGCTGTACACAAAACTTCAGCCTTCTGAAGACTCTCACTCTGTATTCCTAATCAGACCAAATCAGCCACAGGTCAGGATGTGCTTTTGTAACACTTGACCACAATGAATGAATGTATGTCATCCAGCACTGTTACAAAGTTTTTCTGCAATTATCCAAGTCCTCAAACAAGCTACGGTTAGTTGTCATTGATTTTGAAAATATCACAGTGAATTATTCCAGATTTTTCTTTCTGCTTGCCTGAAGAGATACAGTTGAAACAGAATGTTTGCAATTGTTTACAGCTTGAGCCAGCTGTTACATCTCTAGAGTATGTGTCTTCAGGGCAACAGCTTCCATACAGCCTGTGCTTTCAGCACCAACTCAGCTCAGAAAGACTCTCTAATAGCAATTCCAATGTTTGAATTAGTTGTCTCTGTATTTACTAAAGTTCACTAGTGTGTTGTGGGCCTTCCTGTAATAAAGTTCTTTTCTTTTATTGGCTTCCCCTCTTCACAGTGTTTTAAGTTCCAAATCACCTTTGACTTAGCACAGAGTATATCTCTAATGGGTATTCATTCCAGCATTCCACTGACTTCCTCATCATTTCATTTCTGGGCAATGTAACAGCCCAAATCTACACCTACAATATCCTGATAAGGGTAAAAAGCATTCTTTTTAGAAAAAGATATGATAACTGGTGTATAGAAAAATCTAACAATTACTCAAAACTTGAACTATTTTTTCTGCTTTTTTAATCCCTTTGAAATGTAAGCAGTCATCATTTTTCCATGCTCTGTACTTCTTACTTTCAATTGTAGGAACGCCAGAACACATTTATAAGGATTGAAAAAAAAAAGAAAAATCAGCCTGCAGACCAGGGCTAATATTCATCTCACTTAATTTTTATCCTATGCATTCTGAGGGAACACAAACTATTAAAATCTTGCTTCATCTTCTGTTCCATTCTTTCCTTAATGATGACAGAGAAAATATATAGTAACAAGGCACACCATAATTCTTTCAGCTGCACCTTAAAATCAGGTAAAGTGCATGGTCTAAAGATTTAGTGCCTGCTTGCTCATATCAAGATGTCAGAACCTACTGTGATGGATCTTCAGCTCTGTCTTACTCAAGGATGGCAGGATGACAAGCACCTGCTACATAATTCTTCACTTTAGATGATAAAGAACCAGGAAGACATTCACAGCTATGTCCTGGGACACTCTGGAAAGATTTCCTTTATGAGATAATGAGTCTTTAATAAAACAGAGTTGTGGCAGGTAGACACTTATTCAGCTGTTAGTCTTCATTCATATTAATGACCACTGTAGTGCTCAGACACCTTTATGAACAAAACCCACTGAGCAAATTTTGAAGAGGTTAAGAACTAATTCAAGTAAGTGAAAACAGAACCCCTCCACACAGTGAGGTGGGGATACATACCCCAAATTGTACTAAAAGAGAATCAAAACAGCACTGTCTTCTTACTACATATTCCAGTTATTAGTGGAGAACTTCCACAGAAATGTGAAATACCTGACATGAACAAATGGAGAAAAATAATGCTCAGTTTCCTGAGGGTCATTAATTTATGTAAAAGATCCAGGCTCCTAGAGAAATAACACAATGGTCAAAATAGCTAAAATTGTAATTTTAAAAAATGTCTAATGCTATACGCAAAAATTCTCTTTTCCCATCTTACATGTTACTGGAGTCTTTTATTTGGAATACTTGGATTGGAATAGTTGGAATGGATACATTTTATTTAGAATGATTTTTTTTTAGAACAACTGTTCTTCAATGTCATATCTCTACACCACTCCAAAATCAGCCCAGAGCCCTGTAGCATTTCTTCTCTAAGAAGTCCACAAGTTTCTCAGTGAGCACAGATCAGCACATGGTAAGTGCTCGAAAGGACAATGTGCCTGGGTACTGATTCATGTAGCAAAAGAACAACCCATCCTCTAACTTCACCTTGTTAATTCTTTACCATGTATTTTATGGAGAAATAGTGTCACATTTCTTCCTGAAAACAGCACCAGTGTGTTTTATGTGACATTCACCATTCCAAAACTGGAAGGTTGTTAGGTGTCTCATTTTTTATTTTTATTTTGTTTTAGTTGATCAGATGTGCACAGAATTCAAAAGAGGCTCAGTGTCTACAGGTTTTACAACGGGTGTGTTCTGAATTGAGGACCAAAACACAGGCCCCCCTCCCCTTAGATGATCAGCCAGATCTTCAGGGTTAGAATTTATACTCACCACTTATTTCCATTTTAAAAACAAACAAATAAATAAATAAGAATCTGCATCTTAATGGAAACTATTACACGTTTCTGTACTCTTGCCTAACACACCTTGCACACAGTGACAAACTGATGATCATTTCCAGCTCCCACCACGATGTAGCCGTCCTTGGTCTTAAATGCCTGGAAGAGCAAAGACAGGTGATAAGCTCTAGCTAGACTATAAAATATTAGCACACCTTTGAAATGAAACTTTGTAAATAATATTCAAATTACTTCCTTAAACATTTCCATTCATACCAAATTTCTTGCTCTATAAAAGTGGCTCAAAGTCATCCATCCGCAGAGATGGATGAGGCCCTTTTTGAATTTTTTTTCTAAAGTTATCTTGGTTGATATTTTATTTGCTAAAAACGTGTCATGACCAACCCTGAAACTTGATGTGTCCCATACTCACAGGACTGAGAAGGATTACCATAATAATGTTTACTTGCCAGGAGGAATTTATTCAGCTTCACTCTTAGCCCAACTCAGAGCAGACAGCTGCACTGATCCTGCACAGATCCTGACCAAACACACCAAAAAAGTAATTGCCAAATAGCAACTGCAAATTAGAAACTCTCACAGGAATGAAAGGGATAGACTTTGCATCTTTACAGCTCTTTGCCTGGAGATAAGGCTATCTCCTTGTTCAGAGGTCTCAAGATAGATCTCATGGAGGAAATGGGACTTCTTTTCCAACTTTTAAAGACGTAATTTTTACTTTTGATTTCATTACATTTGCCCTAGGGGCACATCTATTGGTGAACACAACATTGAACTGGGTAGGACATAACAGCTTTCATTTCAATCTAAACCATCCCACTTAAATTTTCACGGGAAAAAGGAAAATCTGTAATTGGCAACATCCTCAATTTTTACCATTGTGTTAGGGCATCTTCTAAAATTGGATAATGCAATTCCTCTTTCCTCCACACCTCTCCCTTATAAAAAGGTGTATAACTGCAGTTTCAGTCATAAATAATACCAGCCCAATTTTGGCAAACATTTGGGAAAAATTATTTCACCATTAATTTGACTTCAATGTAAGAGGCCAGCACAGGCAGGTGCACTAATGGTGGCAAAGTCTTGCAACCCTTTCTTGCAGAGAGCAAAACTCATCTTCCATTCCTAGAAACCTTTCTTTTTCTTGTTTTCTTTTTTTAATGAGCTATCATGTCCTCATTTAAAGGTGTGAATTTTCACAATAAATTTTGGTAAAATAACACACAAATATAAGTCCTGGAATGGAAACACTTTAATGATTAAAATTCTTCTCATGCCACTGTGGCTTATTCTTCTTCACAAAGAGTGTTATGCTATCTCAACTTGCAATCTTTCATATAGACACAAATACGTTCACTAAGACTTTTTTACCATCTGGTATAGTCACAATTTTAAAATTGTATGTGGACAATCAGTCCTCTAAAATGCAGGTAACTGTACATCATAGTTAAAATATCACCTGTTTGCTCTTTCATTTCATGATAAATAGTATTTTCCAATTATAAGGTTTAGCAATTTATTTTTCACACATTTAATTAAGTAGTTCAGTCTAAGATAGCAAGCAAAGATAAAACTCTGCAAACAATTAGTCCCAAGCATGCAAGAAAGACTTGGCCTCAGTACAGAAAAGTTTAGTAACATACATTATATAAAGGTACTACATACTCACACTGAGAAGAACAGAAAGCACAGAAAAAAGATTGGAGAAAAGAATACAAAAAAAGATTTGTATGTGAACACATAAATAAATCTGTTCATTTAAAAATGAAATTTTTAAATATTAAAAATATTGTCTAAAAAAATAATGGCAGACCCTGGTAAACAAATATGTAAGACTCTCCCTCCCAGTAAATGACCTTTAATGGGAATAACTATGAATTCAAACTGTCAGTATAAACTTACCACCTTTAGTTACAGGAAAAATCTCTTTTCTGAATACCCTGCTCAAATCTTGATTTGTCTTTGCTGACGTTCATAGTTCCAAAACCAGCCTCATGCAAGTCACACAAATTACAGGTCAAACACTGTACATATCAGTGTGCATATATAACACAGTATAATTTTTATTGGTGCAAGCACTTACTACTTCATGTAAACACAAATCAGTATTCTTCTGTACATTCTTTGAAACTTCTAGTCTGGATGCCTGCTACAGCTTACAAAGCCTACAGTATATGTCATATGTACAGATCCTCCTCCTCAGCACTCCAAAATGTATTTATATTGGTAATATGGGCACATCTTAGAGAGTTTATTATTTATCAGCAACTTCTGTTGAGACATACATCTCTGTAAGAAGAATGCAATCACACAATAGCTGCATACCACTGTGAGACATGCATCTGTACCCACTGGCTGCCCATGCAGCAGCGGAAGTCACTCTAAATTTAAGGGCCTGGTTATTAGCATGTGTGCTTCAGTTGCTTTGTGGAATGTGTGGGAAAACTGATTATTCTTAATTGCACTGTGTGTCTAAAAAGCTAAAATAACAATCATGTCATCCTTACACAACAAAAATGGTATCATAATAAATGCAGCAGTGTCTTTTTCCATGAAGCTTAACTCAAATGTCTTCAGCTGCTATTTTAAGCTTCCCATTACAAAACAGCTGATTATTTGCCAGTCACTGCTGCTGATAAAGCAGAAACTTCCAAATGTTACTAGCACAATATTGATGCCAACATTTAAGGGTAACAATGGTTTTATTCATCAACCAAATATGTACACACACTACAGGTTACCACAGGTTACTGTCTGGTGACAGAAAGCTTCAGAATCTTATTATACAAAGGAGAGTAAGGGCAAAGTGCAGACAGATTTTAATGAGATTTTGTTTTGATAAACTGCTGTCCATCACATTGAATTATTTCACATTAGTGCAATAAAGGGCACTACACACACAAGGCAAAAGTCCTTTTTCCCTTCCCTTTTTTTCCTGAAGAATGAGGCCTTCTTATAAAATTCTTCAGAGTACAATCATGAGTTAACCTGCTACTCCCATGAGGTATCCTGAACAACAGCACATCATTTGCTGAAGACAAGAAAAAAATACCAAGCAATTATTTGGCATCTTATTCATGGAAAAGGCAGAGAAAGACTGTGATCATAAAGGTATTGTTTTTTCAGTGTGGTGCAGAAACTTGAGAGTTTCCAAGAAAATAATCTGTAAAGTACCATTGAATATCTAGTACATGACATCAACACATGCATGCTCAAAGGCACGTCTCAAGGTTCAGTGTGCATGCATCACCCCCTGACATTGTCAAATGGATCTTACAGGACCTTATTAAGAGTCAGCACTTTTCCAACTTGGATCCTAGAACATACTATATACCTGAGATACTTTGCATATTAAAATACTTCAATCTCCCTAAACACATGGCATATAATTTCTATCCACCTTCAGGGATGTTTTATGTGGTTTACAAGTGTTCTCCAAATCCAAATATGTTACATATTGCTACACAATAAAGATGCAGGCCAAACTTAACCTCAGTTATTACCAGAGCAAGCAAAGACTTAAGATAATGAGGCCAAAAGAGCCTTTTTTTCTACTGCTGTAAGTCAATAGCCTTTCAAAATTTACCAGCTTTGAAGGCATTAATGAAAGACCATTATTTTTATTTTTTTATTGCCTGCTTTATGAATTTTAAGTCTATATGTTCTATGGCAATCATCAATCATACACAAATATTCTTGCATGTGTTTCAATTTGCATGTTGATTCCACTAAAAAATCTTTTAAATATAAGAGACCAGTCAAAGGAAATGGCAATTCCAATAAAATGATCAGAAGTCCAGGTCAGTTTTCGTATTTGAATCCAAACCACAGAAATCAAAACAACTAGAACATTTGCAGTTGTGTATAGTAATGGTTTACTCCCCTTCATCAGGCATTTATTCACATCTGTAAGATCTCCTTGAGCCTTCTCTCTGACTCTTTATGCTTAAAAGCCCCAAACCTCTCTTCATATGAAAGATGCTTCAAGCCCTTAATTATTTTCTTGGCCCTTCACTGGACCTGATTCAGTATGAGCATGTCCTTGTCCCAAAACCCCAGAATTAGACCCCGTTGTGGACCCGTAACTGGATTAAGTGGTTATTCATCCTCAGTGGTGCTGAGCAGAGGGAAGGATCACCTCTTTTGAGCTGCTGACAATTTTCCTCCTAATGTAGACCAGAATGATCTCTTTGTCACAGGGACACACTGCTGGCTCATGTTCCATTTTCTTCTCACCAAGAGCTCCAGGCCTTTTTGTGCAAAGCTGCTTTTCAGCAGGTCAGCCTCAGTCTGTACTGATGCATGGGATTATTTCCTATCATGTGCAGAACTTGATACTTCCCTTTGTTGAATTCCATTAGGTTCTTGATGGCCTGACTCTCCAGCCTGTCACAGTCCCTCTGAATGGCAGCACAACCACCTTCTTGGTGGTAAATACATCTTGGTGGATGGTGTATCAACCACTCTTCTCCAGTGTGTAAATTCCATAGATTTTGGAGGCCAAACAATACTCAGAAAGACCAACAGAAACAAAGCATTGGGTTTTTCAAATTGTAGGATTCTTCCATATTTAGGAGAGGTTAAAAGGAGATGTTAATTATCTGAAAAAGTGATTATTTTTTCATTGCCAGGTACTGTATTGGCCTGTTTATTGATAATGGCTGTCAATGGTTGAAATATTTGAAAGTTTTCAGATCTCCCCTTGGCAGAAAATTTGTACTAACTACATCAGATATGGTAAAAATTATGTACTACTCATATTTATGAGTTTTCTTATCTCATGTTCCAGTGTGAATAACAATTAGGATATGTAGAGATACTTAAAAGTGGGAATACCTGATGTTAGATATGCTTGGAATTGAAATATCTTTCAGGACAGTGCTACCTTTTGATTCATAAACTTGAATAGTAGCATCCCTAAAAGCATTCAACAATGAATCATGAGGGGAACAGTTGAAGGTTTTGGGACAGACATGTATTGGTGACTTCTGGAGCAAGATTTAAAGGGACTTAAATTTTTGCATGATTCTTTTGCTTCAACTGGCATCATCAATCAGCTTGCTTGAGATTTTGGAATGATGGTATCCTTGTATAAAGACACAGTATTTCTGCAAGTTACATCTTTGTCAGCACAACAG